TTTGGAAAAACCTAATATTTGCAATATTTTATTTTTTCTGCGATAAGTAATACTTTATGAATACAGTTTCACAAGATAATTTGAAGAGCTCTATTTGTGTTATGTGAGTGACGCTGACAACGAAGTTGACGATCCACGTGCAGTTCATTACAAGAATGTTCAGGCAGGCAAAGGTCAATCACAGGAGCAAACGGGTACATACAGAGTAATCCAAAGCTGTGGTCAAAGAACAGACAAATGGTTGGTACAGGTAGTGATGAATCAAAATGATAACACAAGGTCAAAACACGGCTAAATTAAACATGGAAAACTGCATCATAATGGTCACAGATAAACAAGACTCAGTAATTTGTGTGAGTGTGTGTGTCTCTCTGTCTCACTGTCTTTTAAAGTCCAAGTAATCATTACATAACGATCCTCCGGCTGTGTTTGTGTGTAATCAAGGTGGAACAGGTGTGAGTGTGTGGTGCATGACTGAGTTGTAGTTCTTTTGGTGGCAGAATTGTAGTTCTGAGTGAAAGTGACTGATTCCCAGTGATCTACAAGCCTGGATCGCTGGTGATTGTGACAGTTTGACGGCTTTTGGTGTGTCTGACAGTATTGAGGTACAGAAATTGAATAATCACAACACAAAAAAAGTTTTTTCTTTCTTTTGCTTTGTCTCATTTATAGTCAAAATATCTTGTTTTCATCTTCAGAAGAAATAAGTCAAAATAAATAGTTCTTCCTTTTTTTCTTTTCCTTTCCAATGGGGTAAGGAAAATAATCATGTTTTTGCTTTGAAAGGTAGATATTTGGACTAGATACAAGACAAAAATTCTAAATATGAATAAAATGTTCCCAGATAAATAATTAAATGCAATTAGTCATTGTTATACTTCCAAATATCATAATCTTTTGTGCCCAAATGTTCTAAACTTTCTTGAACTGCTCAGTCAGAGGTCTTAAAAATATGAAAATGGTAAACTTTTACTCTGTTATGGTTACACTTAGCCGTGACTCTACAAATCGCATATGTTCTGTAGCTCCTGGTCAACTCTAGACTATTTTGAGGGATGTAAACTAAAACAATGGTCCCAGCAAATTTCCTGTTTTACACTTTTAATTTCTACAGTCACATATTGATAAATAATGTTATGATGGCTGTTTTAACATTAAGTTATAATCGAATTGCCTCGTTACAGTTATAAAATAGTTTGATAACAAGCAGGAAATGTTCAAGGGCTTATGACATGATCACATTGAAATGGTCTATAATTCAGACTCAACATTGCAGATCTTGCGATGTGACTATTGCAGATGCGCACATTGGGATATTGATGCTGAAACATCATATAGTGCAGCCCTACATTTAAAGCCTTTATATCAATAAAATGGGAGATGCTGTTGCCAAAGCATGTTGTTTGTGCACAGCCGTCTGCTTAAAATAAAATGTGTCTAAATTTATGATCTTCTCAGTGGTAAAATTGTTTCATTGTGAGCTTTCTGGATAATTACCTGTGACTCCTTTCAAGTCAGTTCTGGGCTTTAATTTAATAAGTAAACAACTACTAATTTGACCCAGTTTAACTCCGCATTAGGGCTGATTTGATACACACGAATACCTGCTGTCTTTAAATGATTCCCACACAATATAAAGGATTTTTTAAGTAATTGCATCAGATACTCCGGAGCTTCAATAGCGCTTCCTTGCCCACACATAAACATAACCTGTGTTGTCTAATTAGACAATGAAATAATGAATAGCCTGTTTAGCTAGAATAAATAGATTTTATAAAACAAATAACATTAGGCGTTTCTTAAACACTTTCATTCAAACTAATTGACATTGCCTTGAGGATATACTAGATTTTATCACAACCAATGACCTTAATATTGGTAGTGCAGTTTTCTACTGTTGGAGCCATAGGGATGTGTGTTCAGATTTTAGGCTCTGCTACTATAAAGGTTATTACTAATTTGAATTGTTCTGATGTGTTTTGTATAGGAGATCTTATTTAATGTGGGGAAAAAAAGAAAAATCATACTTGCCAAAGCAAATCAGAGTTCCCTTTGAGCCATGAATTTGCATTATTTGCTCAAGCAAGCAGATAATGGGCATAGGTTTCCAAACTTAGATCCACAGACATGGATAATCACAATGGACCTGCTGTTACAAATGGTAAAGTTTATCATCTTGGAATTTGTTCAGTGGACTGTAAAGCATCCCTATCCAGCCTATTCTGCAACATGATTGGACAGTTGAGAGCGCCAAAAATGCTGGGGGTACAAAAATACAGCAATGCATTGTGATATATGAATGCTTTTTATAAGTTATATCCGAATTGCTTTAAAAAGGTTTGCATGCATGTGTGGGATATAGCTTGTCGAAATGGATCATTACGGAATACTAATATTAGTATATAAAAGTTGACCTATGAATATCACAATGCCCGTGAGGAGAAACGGTTAGACGGAGAATGTTCCTAAGGCAGCTTGTGTATGAATGCATGTGTGTTTATTCAGTGGTTAAATGATATATACATTAAATGGTTTTGTAGTGTTACATCAAACATAGTTTCCTGGTAACCATAAAATAGGAAGCTGGTTATTGGGTGTTGTGAATAGCTGTGAAAGAAATTCTTTCAAAGATTGTAGCATTCGGCCATCTCTTTTAGAGTATGAATGCATCATAATTCTAATATGAGGATGTTATTCTTGTTTTTTCAGAGGGCACCAGTGGCAGTCCTGACTCACCTTCCCGAGGCGATTCATGCCTAGGTGGAAACTGAATTATTTTTTTTTGGTTGTACTTTCATGTTCTATTTTTGGAAATTGATCTTTAAAACAAACATCAATGTGGCTGAAATGTGCTAAAACATAGCTGAGTTCTCTGATTCGAATGTTATCACTCGATGGAATGGGCGTTATCAATAGTTATCAGCTGATCGATATGGGCCAGTAGGGGTCTTCTGCACATACTAGTAGGCTCAGAAGGCTGTAATCATCCATCCACATGGTTAATCAGCTATCCGCTTGTTAAGTGTGACGTCACGCGAAGCGGCTTCTGGGTCCAAGCGGTCTATTCAACTGAATGGGGAGACTCATGCAATGGTAATAATAAACGTTTACAAAGCGATTTAAGGCTTTCGAAAGTCACGATCGCAGTATATATGTCCATGCCTAATATACAATGGCCAGAAAGTGATTCTTTTTTTAAATTGTTAAAATTTTGGTATTTGTCATGCAGCAAGCCCAGAGATTGTTGTTTACACTATGATTTTATATAAAATCAACTTTAATGTGTGATAGGAATAAAACGTGATCATAAACAATGATCTCTCCACTCAAATGAATGGCGGCTTGGACCCGGAAACGGTATACATACGTCACAAATACGTCACCACTTAACAAGCGGATAGATCACACGCCTGCAGCCAGAGGTTAACGAGATTTCCCATTTATTGCATTTTATTACGTCTACCTCAACCTTAAACCCAACCATCTCAGTAATGTAAAATCAGATCTGGACTCTTCTCTATTAGTAAAGCTGATTAACCATGGAAATTATTTATATTGTTAATTAAATTTCTCTTTATTGTATTTTATTAACCCTAAACCCAACCGTCGCAGTAATGTGGAAACAGATCTGGACTCTTCTCTATTAGTAAAGTTGATTAACCATGAGAATTATTTATATTATTTATTAAATTTTCCATTTTATTAACGTCTACCCCTACCCGTAACCCAAACGTCACAGTAATGTAAAAACAGATCTGGATCTGGAGTCTTCTCTATTAGTATAACTCAGGGGTGTGCAAACTTGGTCCTGGAGGGATGGTGTCCTGGTGAGTTTAGCTCCAATTTGCTTCAACACACCTTCCAGGAAGTTTCTAGTATCTAGTAAGAGCTTGATTAGCTGGTTTAGATGTGTTTGATTTAGAATTGAAGCTAAACTCTTCAGGACACCGGCCCTTCAGGACCGAGTTTGGACAGCCCTGGTATAGCTGATTAACCATGAGAATAGTTTATATTATAAATTAAATTTCCCATTGATTGTATTTTATTAATGTCTACCTTAACACAACCGTCGGAGTAATGTGAAAAAAGATCTGGAGTCTTCTCTATTAGTTGATTAACCATAAGAATTATTTACATTGTTGATTAAATTTCCCATCAATTGTATTTTATTTTAGTCTTCCCCTACCCCAACCATAAACCCAACCATCACAATATGTGAAAACAGATCTGGATCTGGAGTCTTCTCTATTAGTATAGCTGATGATTACAGCCTTCTGAGCCTACTAGTATGTGCAGAAGGCCCCTACTGGCCCATACCTATCAGCTGATATCCCCTGATAACGCCCATATATAATGAGTGATAACATTCGAATTGGGTGCACTCTAATTGAACATTTCAATGTGATCATGTCATTGGCCCATAAACATTTCCCGCTTGTTATCAAACTATTTCATAACTGTAACAAGAGACAATTCAATCATAACTTAATGTCAAAACAGCTATCATGACACTATTTATCAATATGTGACTCTTTTTGCATTCTCGGAAGCTGTAGAAGTTAACAATTTAAAACAGGAAATATGCTGGGACCATTGTTTTTGTTTATATCCCTCAAAATGGCCTATAGTAAATGCAGAATAAGGAATTAGTCAAAATAAAAAAATGCAAAAGAGCTGATGAACGTGTAGAATTTGATCAATTCAGGTGAAACTTTCTGTGAAGATGCCGCAGATTTGGACATGACCAGAAAACATACTTTTTCAAAAAAGGGATACAAGTGTTTGCATTTAAAATCCGCTTATGTGTGAGGGTACACGTGCCTTCTGTGTATCTACTTCATAATCTGAAGTTTAAAGACTGAGTGCACTTGTCAGGCAGTTTTCCTTTGACCGAGGGAATGATCTTAAAGCATAAAATCATTTGATTTAATTGCATGAGTTGTGGATCAAAACGGCTCCCGTGGATCTCCTGCAGGGAAATTACACAGCTGGGAGAGTCTGACTCATAACGAACCTCCAATTTTGGCGCAAACGGAGCAAGCCCAAAATCACCGTTTTCATTGAGACAGACAGGAGTCGCTTCGTTGAACTGTTTTGCTCTCTTTAACACGTGGAGGCGACAGTGGATGGGACATGGTTTTGCAACATCGAAGGGGAAAATGACTTGTTTACTGAGGCGTCGTGTGATTGAGATTTTTCCACAGTTTTGACGCGCCCGTCGTGCGCAGGGACTGTTAATGGCGCTCATTATCATTTGACTGTATTCATGTGAGAGAGAGAGAGAAAGAGAGAGAGAGAGAGAGAGAGAATCTAATATCTACTCGACTCATGGAGTGTGCGTCTGAGAGCAATGGTCTGTAAAGTTGGGTGGAAATATGAACGCGCCTCACAACCAATTTCCCCCCTCAAATAGATAAGCGACGAGACTACTCTGTTTGCTTTGACAGGCAGACAATCAGCACATCTACTACTCCGAAATGTATGTTTATGTTTTATTATGGGCGGTAAGGTAGGAGAATTGAGTTGAATTTGGCGCGGAGCGCGTGGGAGGCATTGGCAAGTACAGTCTCAATTCCGCGCTGAGATGTTAAGGAGCGTACACGCGCTCGACAGTTTACCATGATGTCTCGAGTTCAGTCGATGCTGTCGCAGAGGAATCTCCATCCAAAATAGATCTCATCCCCGTTATCGACGTTTAAACGACTGAATACGGCGTGTTGCTGTTGTTTTCTCCAAAAGGATGCGATATTGACGGAATCCCCCCTCAGAGGAGGCACGCGGACCTGTTCCACAAGCTCCACTGCGGAAAGCGCTCGAGACTCAGAAATAAATAACAGAAATATTAGGGTGAAGAAGCTATGTGTGTCGACTGATTGACTGAACGTATTTTTTCTTCGCTTTTTTGGTGAATCTCTGTGTGGAATGGACACGGTAAACACAAGGGCACTGGTGGAATTACGCCGTTGAGAGCGCTGAACTTGACGGATTTGTTTATAAAGAAACAGCAAGGTTATACGACGAAGAGTGAGGACAAGGTGTCATTCTTGACTGGCATTTTGGAAATGTATTGCGAGGATTTTAGGTGAGTTGTTTTCTTTTTTTACTTTAAATAAAACATCAAAGAACGTATTATTCACATTATTTCCATGCCAATTGTAGGGATTTGTTTACTCATAGTCAGATGGGAGTCGTTGGAGCCTCTCGTTGACGAAATCGTCGGCTTATTTTTGTGACGGGAGAAATAATTTCAGTCGCCCTGATGCGCAACACCTGCTGCGCGAGCGAGCGCCCTACATAGAGACAAACCCGCGCGCGCGTGAGGGGAATACACCATACCGGCTGCTATTTAAACACACCGGCTCTCTCACACACCTTTCCATCACTGACAACACTCTCTAAGCTCACTCGTGTGTCTTCTTTAAAACACGATTATGTGTCAGTCTCAGAGGTTACTTGGTTGTGTGCGGGGGAACCGTTGCGCTTCCACGCAGATCAGTTTGCACTGCGAGCCCACTCGCGAAGCCTTTTCTCACTGAACACCAGCGAGAAGTTATAGAAATCCACTAAATAATGAGTTCTGTGATTTTTTCCTAACCTGATTTAAGGATTTTCGTTGACTTTCTTGCAGAACACTGAACACTTAAGCTCCTGTCAAGGTGGTTCGCCGAAGGTCTGAGGAAAAAATGCGCCGAGAAACGCGCCTTCTCTGTGAGGAAATCTTGGTGGATAACATTCAGAAGACATCGGTCAGTTTCACAGATGGCACATTTCAACCCCGACGAGTCTTCTTCACTGACACCTCGTGACACGCAAGGTAAGAGATGTTTTAAATATTGAACGTCTGCTAATAGGTGTGAAGGGGCTGGCGGTGGAGATCCGACAGGGGGCGCCGTTGTTTCGCGGTTTCAGACTTAACTGGGAATGAGGGACTTGCAGATTTGGGTGCAGTCACGTTGTCCAAGCACATTTTTGATGTTTTCCTCTTGCTTACAGGACCAGGCCTGAAATAGTCCTTCCTGCTATGGAAGATTCAATTTTAGAAGCTAAAAGATTTCGAAACCGCCCCCTCCCTACCCACACATGCATGTATAGAGACACTTATGCACGTCTGAATGAGATGACCTTACCGAACACCCAGATATGTAGCAATAGATTCTTACAGTTGTTACATTGGAAAAATCTTTTCATGGCTTAAATGGTTAGTTCAGCCCAAACTGAAAATGTTGTCATCATTTACTCAGCCTTCACTTGTCACAAACCTGCGTGAGTTTCTTTCTTCTGTTGAACATAAAAGAAGTTCTTTTAAAAGATGTTGGAAACCTGTAACCATTGACTTCCAATGTATTTGTTTTACTGCTATGGATGTCAGTGATTACATCTATCTAGCCTGTTCTAAAATGTCCTCTTTTGAGCTAAACAGAAAAAGGAAACTCATAAATGTATGAAAATGAGTGTGAGTAAATATGAATTGTTGGGTGAGCTCTCCCTTTAAGACAGAGACATCATTTACACATGTTTGTGAGCAAAGAAACAGTGCTTCACACAGGTTTAAAATATACTTGTGGTGGTAGCCGGATTGAAACACACTTTTTACCCATAGCACATGATTACCTACATGCCACAAAAAAGGGATTTTTAACAATAAAATAAAAAATACACTATTTGTTTTACTTTTATTCTATTTAGCAGCCATGTGCACCCACTGACGGGTTAAATCTGCTGCTAACATTTTGTATAGTATTACTAAAGCATGTTAGATATGTTTAAATTATGCAGTTTATCATATAAATATATAGCGAATGAGAAATAAATGACAAAAAAATCTAAAAAGTGTAAAAATTGCAAGAATAAAAAATTTAATGTAGATATAAATAAGGCAAATGAGTTAATTAACCATTTCTAACCATGTACATATATTTTGCTGCCATTTTAGATGTAATTTTGTCCTCTCTGAGTAAGTAGAAAAGTTTTATCTGAGTCGTTTAGATCAAATAATTAATTATGGTGGCTTGAGAAAGCCAATATGTTATACTACATAAACCTTTTCTTCTTCTTCTTCTTCTTTTAAGATTGCATCTTCTCCTAGACCATTCACACTACAACCACCAAACTAACTCCAAAAGTCCAAAATATACTGAATTAAGTTGCTATATCTTTTCCAACTGATTCGACTTATGATTTTCTAAAAACTGGCCCGGAAAATTTTGAAAAGTCTCATTGACTTAACATCGGACCAAAATTTATGACCTCATAACTTAGTGCCAGATTGTTATGCAGACTTAAGGTTGAGCTCATTTAACTCGGACTACCAATCTGCCAATCATTGATGATTTTTCAACTAACTAGCCACACCTCAGCAACCACTTACGGCACCTTAGCAAATGACTCATAGGCTACCATTGTAAAAAAAAAAAAAAAAAACACTATTGACTTTACATTAGACATACTGTACTAACAACATATCAATTCATGCTAACAATATACTAAGCCATGCTAGAAGCTTACTAACGACATACCAATCCATACTAGAAGCATTCTAATCCATACTAGAAACCTACTAACAAACACACCAATCATACTTGAAAGATACTAACAATATACCAATCCACACTAGAAACATACTAATACATAATAGAAACATATTAACATACGAATCATACTAGAAACATACCAACAATATATCAATCCATACTAGAAGCATGTTAACAATATGTTTATTCATGCTATATAATGTTTCTCTCATTCCTGCGGCTGTGTATGCACTGTCAGCTTTGAAGCAAAGCATAAGTAAATCAAGCTTAAAATAAAAATGATGACGGCTTACAAAGTGAAACCAAAAGCAGAATCCCGGACATTTTAAAAGATTTAGAAACCCTAGACGGATGCAGTTTTAAGTTCCACAAAGGCACGTCTCTGCAGAGCACGTGAGATTGTCTGTGGAAGTCTGTGGGACAGTTCTTGCGCACACTCAACGAGAAGTAGGAAACGTGTAGGGTGAGAGGAGGTTTTCCACTAATCAATAGATTGCGAATGTTTGGCTATTTTGCGGATACAAGAAAAGTATAAAATGATGGTAATAAAAAAAAATAAATGTTAGCAAAATTCTTGGTTTTCCGTTAATATACCTGGGCGGCCCACCCAAGTAAAGTCTTTGAGTGGGAAGCACTGCAGTAACGAGCATTTGACCAATGCACTGCCCTTTGGTTGAACATATTTAATGTGCTCTTCTGCTGGAAACCTCAGGGCTCAGAATTACCTTATTTTTTGTGCAATTAAAAATTAAAGTTGCTATAAAAAACTTTGACTTTAGCAATGCTGTGCAAGATTATCATTCAAACTGTTGCATCAGCATGACAGTATTTGACCAGAAAGACTAAACAGATCATAAAACACAATGTTAGGTGATATCATATTTGTTCTTGAATTTGCTAAACTAATATAGAGGCTTCATTCATATAAATAGGAATAACATGTTTTGCGCCCTAAACAGACATACACACAAGTGTATAAACTGGTCAGAAAAAGAGGCAGATGGGGGAGGAGGACCTGGTGCAGGTGCTTATTTTGAGAGTACTCATAACTATTGACCCTTCCACCTTTCCACACAGTCAAACTCAGAAATCCACCCACATCCTCCCCATTCGCCTGCGAACAGAAGTGATCTCAGTGGTGATATTCTGCTAACAGAGGAGCCGATCTGCACTTGCCACTTTTCACCATGGTTTTGAATTATGAAATATGGGCTGTGACAGACCTTCAAAAGTGTGGTTGGTACTTTCAGGCATATACTCGAAACCTCACTCGCACAAACACTCCTATTGGCAAGATGTGTCTGGCAATGTTGCTTAAATTTTGATGCGTGAGTAGTGAGTCTTGTTTTTTATGAGCGAAACAAACCTTGGCTGCTTCTCAGTTGTATCCTGCTAGCTTGGGTTGAAGGTGATGCCTAATGCTGCTGAAAACATTACACACCGTTTACTTGTAAAATATCCAACAATTCTGACAGATGCACATGCAGAACGAGGTGTTGAGTGATGTCTTGCATTTGCTAACGTTAAGTGCTACTTCGGGTTAGACTTAAGGGCATGAATGCTTTGCTGGGGCAGCTTTGCCACTATGCCAATTATGGATGTTAGCGAGTTTACTAAATAAGAAAGTTACAGGGGCACCAGAGCACATCTGCTTGTCTCTGGAATCTCTAATATGGTCATTGAGGCATGTACCACTTTTGGACCCTCACAAACTACCAGTGCAACCATCAAGAAAGCAATTAGGCAATTATGTGATTGGCACTAATTAGTATGCTTCACAATACAGCTGAATGTTTTAGCTCTCAGAAGCTAAACCCTCTTACTATCTGCAGTAAGTGTTTGCCAACAATTGAAAACGCATCAATAAATGATTAGTTTTTCAAGTGTTAAGCAAGTCCTTGCTTAATTTATTCAAAAATCACATTGCGACTACACCAGGCGGTAATATCTTCTTTTGTTTTTGAGTTGCTGTCATAAAATATGAATAAAAATATTAGTATATTCAATTACAGGCATATATAAAGGGTCCTGCATTTTGACGTGCTATAATGACATGAATTTAGCATTTTGATATTGTTTATTATTATTCATTATGGCTTAATACATTTATATCACTCAAGATAAAATATTTTAAATATACACTCAACGGCCACTTTATTAGGTAAACCTGTCCAACTCCCCATTAATGCAAATTTCCAATCAGCCAATCACATGGCAGCAACTCAATGCATGTGGGCATGTAGACATGGTCCAGATGATCTACTGCAGTTCAAACTGAGCATCAGAATGGGGAAGAAAGGTGATTTAAGTGACTTTGAATGTGGTTTGGTTGTTGGTGCCAGATGGGCTGATCTGAGTATTTTAGAAACTGCATTTTTCATGCACAACTATCTCTAGGATTTACATAGAATGGTCTGAAAATACCAAGTGAGCGGCAGTTCTGTGGGCGCAAATACCTTGTTGATGCCAGAGGTCAGAGGAGAATGGCCAGACTGGTTCGAGCTGATAGAAAGCTCGTGACAAACAAGGTATGCAGAAGAGCATCTTTGAACGCACAACACCTTGAACCTTGAGGCGGATGGGCTACAGCAGCAGAAGACCTCTCCTGTCAGCTAAGAACAGGAAACTGCGACTACAATTCACACAGGCTCACCAAAATTAGAGAATAGATCATTGGAAAAACGTTGCCTTTTCTGATAAGTCTCGATTTCTGCAGTGAGATTCAGATGCTAGGGTCAGAATTTGGCATCAACACCATGAAAGCATAGATCCATCCTACCTTGTATCAACAGCTCAACCTAGTGGTGGTGTAATAGTGTGGGGGATATTTTCTTGGCACACTTTGTAGTTACTCACAGCCTACCTGAGTATTGTTGCTGACCAACTACTTCCAGCAGGATAATGCGCCATGTCATAAATTATCTGAGACTGGTTTCTTGAACATGACAATGAGTTCACTGTACTCAAATGGCCTACACAGTCACCATAGCTCAATCTAAGATAGCACATTTGGGATGTGGTGGGAGATTCGCATCATGGATGTACAGCCGCCAAATCTGCAGCAACTGCATGATGCTATAATGTCAATAGGGGTCAACATTTTTAAGGAATATTTCAAGTACTTTGTTGAATCTATGCCACAAAGGATTAAGGCAGTTCTGATAGCAAAATGGGGTTAGGTGTCTGTCAGGTGTACCTAATAAAATGGCCGGTGAGTGTATGTAATTTACTGAATTTGTCACGTTGCAAGACTAAAAATAAGATTTATATATATATATATATATATATATATATATATATATATATATATATATATATATATATATATTAAATGTATTCAATTTATTCGTTTTATCTGAAAGTGTTGAAAATACAAGTTCAAGTCTCCACTAAGTATTTGCGATATCTTCATTTAAAATTTCCAGAGTAAGACTTTTTCAGTTAAGCTCCGCATTTAAGAGCTTCTGCATTAAGCTTGGTCTTTTGTTGAGGACTGGTGATATAAAATGGTAGTATTCGCAGTAGCTGATGGCAGCACATTCTTATCACATCGCTTATTGCTGACCAGCCCAAACAAACTCCCAAAATTCAAGCTGTGCAGACTGTGGGGTTTATTTCATTTTATTGATTTCTGTGTCATGATGAGTATTGATTTTGAATTACATGCCCTAGCACATACAGTATATTAAGAGACAAAGTGACACAATTTCATGATGCTATATGTGTCTGTGTTACCGATGACATTCTCAGCCAGAGCGAAACAGTAAATTGACTCAAGTGCATATATAATTTTCAGCATTGTCCTTTTCATCTGTGGATAGAGGCTATAATAACTCCAAGCTAGCCGGTGAATGAAACAGAGGTGCATATATGACTGATGACTGAACTTGAGGGATGAAGCAGGTGTATCCAGTGACATTTCTGAGAGTGGAAAGTTCAGAGTGAATTTGATCAGTCTTGCTATCAAAGCAGGTTTGATAGCGAAGTATTTCTGCCAAGATAAAAGAGGTCAAATAAACTGTAGAAAAAAAAAAAAATATATATATATATATATATATTTTATATATAAATATATATTTTATATATATATATATATATATATATATATATATATATATATATATTTTTTTTTTTTTTTTCGAAGGGATAACATTAGTCATTCATCCTGCTTTTCTTCATCCTACTTTTGTAAGTACAAAACTAGTAGGATTTTTGGCGTTTTTTAACAAAAAACGAGATGTTTTGAAATATGCTCATGCTGCTGTTTTCCCATATAGTAAAAAAAAAATACACTACCTGACAAAATTCTTATCGTCGATCTCAGTTGTATAAGCAATAAATAATAACTTCTAGTTGATAATTTGGAAAAGTGGCAAAATGTAGATTTTTCTGACAAATCATCTGTTGAACTGCATCCTAATTATCAAAAATACTGCAGAAAACCTACTGGAACCTGCATGGACCCAAGAATCTCACAGAAATCAGTCAAGTTTGGTGCAGAAACAGTCATGATTTAGGGTTACCTTTAGTATGAGGGTGTGCTATAGATCTGCAGAGTGGATGGCAACATCAATAGCCTGAGGTATCAAAACATTTTTGCTGGCCATTACGTTACAAACCCCAGAGAGTGCAAATTCTTCAGCAGAAGCAGAATAGCACCTCTTCTCATACTTCAGCCTCCACATCAAAGTTCCTGAAAGCAAAGGAGGTCAAGCTGCTCCAGTATTGGCCAGCCCAGTCAACAGAGGTGAACATTATTTAGCATGTCTGGGGTAAGATGCAGGACAAGGCATCCAATGGATCTTGATGAACTCTGAGAGTCCTGCAAGAACGCTTTCATACCTTGATTTGGAATGGCAAAGATCATATTTTGTTTGGGTAAAATTAGCATAATATCCTGGCCTTTGACATTCATATAAGCCACTTCTGATACCAAATGGTCAACTAGAAGTCAAGTTAGTATTTGCTGTTCCTAAGACTTGTATAGGTGACAAGACTTTTGTCAGGTAGTGTAGAAATGAATGTAGAATGAGTTGCGTCCTCTCTCCCAGCTTGTCACATATTGACACTTGGTCACGACCCTCTTGGATTTATATTGTGACTCAAATTCCAAATATTGGTGAGATACGATATCTATTGTGCTCATGTAATATTGCTGGTTTTCATCATAATAAAAGTTTATCACCTGCATAAATCTTGTGTTTTATAGCCTTGCCAATTTGAACTCCTGATATGTGAGCACATGCATTTGAAGCTCCTGCACAGAGAAATAACTTGACTAATCATCATTTATTCTCCCTTATGTGGTTTTAAACATTTATAAGTTTTCTTAAACACAAGCGAATATTTTGAAGTGAAAATGCTGGTAGCCGGCACCCATTGACTTTTTTATAGTACCTTTTTTTCCTACCCTGGGTGCCAGCAACCAGCATTTTTCAAAATATCTTTTTTATGTTCTACTGAAGCAACTCAGATAGGTTTGGAACAAGTGAAGGCTGAGTATTTGGGGTGAATTATCCCTTCAAGTTATCTTACTGTATGTAATCAATAAAAAATATTGTACCCAAACACACAAAATTCATATAAGTGCAGTTATTTGTCAGTGTAAATAGCTGGGAAAGAAACTGTTACATTAGACCTTTTGTATTAAAATAACATCACCTGATGCTATCCATGTTGTTAACAAAAACAGCTCTTGAATAAATAAAATTAATATAAAATGTATTGGATGCAGCTTTTAAATGCACTTGCGAGTAGATAAACATGGAAAGCTGTGTACAGCTCTCTCGGGGAGGAGCTAAGCTGTTTAGATTTCATTGCCAGCCGTGTGCGGTGCTATTTTCAAAGTGACATCGGTTTACATAAAACATGCAGTTTTTCTGTAATCATGTTTATGATTTATGGGAAATATAAAAAAATGAGTGGGTGGATTTTTACCATTCGTACTCGCACAGTTATGTTCAAACATCATGTAAAAGAGAGTTGCTCATAATACTGTTGGCCACCTTTAATGTTTAAATTGCTAAATAAAGTGATCGCTCTCTGTGATCAGTCTTTTCATTTAGCATGACACAATTGGACATGAGACACACAAGACAGGGTGCCCGGGGGATCTTACAATGTACTAATAAATCAATATGGAGAAGTTTAAGGCCCTTAAAAAGAATTTTAAAGTCTTAAATGCTATTTTGCAATGTATTCAGTTTTATATTAGTTTTGATTGTGCAGTGTATGACTGTAAAGTTTGCCTGAATTGAATATGCGAATATCAGGATGCTGTGTAGTTTATGAAATCAATGATATCCTACTATATTTGACATCATGCTGCTTTGTTTACTGCAGTAACCAAGCAAACACCATTATTTCTGAAGTTCTATAGGTGCCAAACTGATCAATTAGCTAGATTTAATCGATTTATATACTGTATATGGAAAAAATTTATTAGTTTTGGATTAATTTCCTACATTAAAATATAGTAAATATGCTGCAAATTTAAATCTCGCCAGTGTTTCTGGTTAAATAGTGGTTATAAGGTCTTAAAATGTATGGAAAAGTCTTTAAAAAGGTCTTAAATGGTATTGAATTTCACTCTGATTCCTGTATATACTCTGCAAGAGCCAATGAGATTTCACAATCAAAGCTGAAGTAATACAATTTCCATGCCAATAGTGTCTTTGCATAATGATGCCAAAGTTTTCTTATTGAATGCAATGCAGAACTGTCACTAAAGGGTACCCTCAGCGATAAAAGTGGGATCTTGAGTAGGTGTCAGTATGTGAGTAGTTGGGAGTGAGAAAGTGTTAAGTTGGGAGTGAAAATGTGCTGTTGGAGTTCCTGTACAGGAGTACATCTTCTTTTATCTTCCACTGTAAAAAAGAAAGTGGAAGTGCAGAAATGTTTGAACTATTCCTTTAAGCCATAAACACAGTTTCTTCCGTACTAAAGCTGACTTTTACATTCCGTCTCCTGAGATTGAACCACCTTTGAACCGCTAGCATCAGCGCACTTAAATTTAACCATGTGTAAGCTGTTCTTCACTCATGAAGTTATAATGCATTCCAGTTAGTGCATGGTTTCATCAATTATTACTATAATTTAAGAGACAGCTACGCTAGCCATCTGGAATCATTCAGGCATCAAATTCTGCCTCGAATCGTAATAAACTATTGAAGAGTCCTATCAATTAGACGGGCCATTTAAATGCAACCATGCTGACATATTGTAAGACAGTACATCAGAGTTAATTGCTAATAAGTGAACCACTGTTCCATTTAACTGTTTAGACTAATTGAAAAGTATTGACTTGAAATGATTGAGTAGTTGAACAGAGCGCAATCCCATCTCAACCTTTAAATACTTGTCTTCCGGATTCGTTTCCCATTCATTTACAGTCCCCGTCAGCTGAATCGGTGCATGCCAAGCAATGGAGCAGATGTACTGTATTTCATGTCTCTATTATCTGATTTTGTCATCCTTTTTCTCGACTTGACAGGGGCTGAAGCCAGGAATGATGGGAGCTGTAGTCCGCTTGATGGTCTTATGGGCTTTGCTGGGCGGGTCACAGGCCGCAGAGAAGCCTCCATCCCTGAGCATAGCTGTGATATTGGGCCAAACTCCTACAGTGTCCGAATCAGCCCTGCGTCCGGCTCGTGGGATTGGTGCACCTCTAGATGTGACTGTACTCAGCATCCAGGTGAATCAGACGGACCCAGGGAGCATGCTCACACACCTGTGTGAGCTCATGTCCCGACAGAGACTGCATGGACTGGTCTATGGAGATGGCACAGACCAGGAAGCCGTGGCACAGATGCTGGACTTTGTTTCCTCTCAGACTTCCATGCCCATACTGGGAATCCACGGCGGCTCTGCCATGACTATGGCCGAAAAGGTAAGCATGTATTCCTCCCTGTCCCTGGCTGGATGTGTCTACTTTGTCATCCCTTTTACCTAGAAACTAAACTGCAACCCACCACAGAATATTTCATCATATCTGGCATCAGTGGGATGTTTTCCACCAGGGCCTAAACAGAAAGCTTGATTTCAAATATTCAATGCCATGTTTTGGATTGTCTAGCTGTGTGGCATTAAACGAGACACAATTCAGATACCTGACAGATTTTCTTTATCAGTCATGCCATCTGTGTCTGATATAGCCTGACGGATTGCCAGTCTTCCTGTCACTGTCCCTCTGTCTGTCTGTTTGTTTCTGCAAAGTTGCCAATGAGAGCTGCGTTTGTAGCAGGATCGCTTGCAATTGTGTGGGTGTGACAGAAACCTGCGGCCGGGTTAGTGACAGATCTGCCAAGCGCGCATTGATTCATCGATGCTGCCTTTGTTATTACATTAAAGGTGCAGTATGTAAGTTTGACACCCAGTGGTTGAACTTGGTATTGCACTCCTGTGTCAAAACAAACGCAAGCCTTGCCATAGTCATGTCAAAGCAGTTTGTAAATCAGCATATTATCATCTCAAAAACATTGCAAGAATTAGATGTTGTGTTTCCAGTGAAGACTTGGAGAAACTTGTTCATGTTTTTATCAGCAGCAGGGTGGATTACTGTTACGGCTCAAGTTTTTACACTGGCTGCCAGTTACATTCAGAATAGATTTTAAAGTATTATTACTTTTATAAATCACTAAATGGCCTCGGACCTCAATACATTACAGATATGCTCACTAAATACAAGATAAGATCTTTAGGATCATATAAACTCCAAATTCCAAGAGTTCAGTCAAAGCAGGGTAAATCGGCTTTCAGCTAATATGCCCCAAGCAGCTTAAATCAGCTTCAAGAAATGATCAGATGTGCCCCAACATTAGGCACGTTCAAATCAAGACTAAAAACACATCTGTTTTTTTTCTTTTTCATTCTTTTATAACCTGTTTTAACACATCTTAATTTGTTTTATCTGTTTTTAGTCAATTTTATTGTTTATTTATATTTTCTTTTACTTTTTTATTCTTGTTTGTGTAAAGCACTTTGAATTGCCACTGTGTATGAAATGTGCTATATAAATTAACTTGCCTTGCAGGCGCAGGTTGCCAGATTGAGGACAGAAGTGAGGGATTTAAACCGCATTTTAAATTAAAGCAACGACACGCGATAGAAGGAATATGTTCCATATTAAACTGAGATTTTGATATATTAGCTATATTAAAGACGGCTTCTGTTTCTTACAGCTGAACAATAAAAAACTGACAATGATTACCTTAGGTACTCCTCATGTGCTTTATTCAGTGTTAATTGCTATCAATGTGAGTTTGAATGCCATTTTACATGACATTTATTGGCATATACAGAAAGCAGCAGCAGATAGTTCACCTCAGATCCTAAAAAATAAAATAAACCGTTGAACTTTAGGACTCTGGCTCAAAACCAACACAAAGAGAATCACAGCATGTACATTCAATAATGTTAAACAGGTTTAATATGTATTAAATGGATTATAAACGTTACAATTTTGTTAGTAAGGGCATATTATGTGCTTCTGAATGGCTGTATTTACATTTCTGTCGTGTTTTGTCTGATGCAAATAGCCAAATTGCTTATCTCATTATGTAGCGTGTTGTTAGGACACACGGTAGCAATGTAACCTGCTCACCTAATATTTACGTTTGTAATATTTATATTACTTGCTAATTAATAATCTCATGTGGAACTCTGAATCGGTGTCTCATTTTTGTATCTGCAACTGTTCACCTGAGGTCGCATTTCGCATGCTTTAAGAGCCTTTCTAAGTGAATGAATGAAATAAGTGGTTTTCCACCAAGGTGACCTGGAGTGCTGAAATATAATTGGTTAAACTGGCATTGAGCAGGTTAAAAGAACCAAAACACAGACGGACGTTCTGCCACGTAAAACATATTTTCAAAGCAGAATATTTTTTCTTGCTGTTTTTTTTAGATAAAAATTGTTCAATTGGCATGTTTCTTAAATATCTGCAAACATAGTATGGTATTGTTATGCTTTAGAAGAGTCAAAAACTTTTATACAGCACATTTAAACATCAAACTTATATTAGCAAATGGATACGTTTGACTATGAGGTTATTAATGCGCTGTGCTCATCTACATAAACCGTAGAAACTTCTTGTAGGCGACCATGTCATCCCGTTGCATCATCTGGCTGAGTTCACTTCAAACTACCCTTCCAAATAGCGATTTGATAATTTTAGATGAGCGCACAATCTCTTTTAACAGTGATGAAATAACCACAAAGTAAGTGGATTGTGATATTCTGTCAGAGCTCGATGTTAGGACACATTCCTTCTTAAACACTTAAATGTTTTTGATGTTTTAATTTTTATGCGGTGTGTGTCTAGATTCATTTGATTTAGAGAGATGTTTTATTTTCTCTCCTTTAAACTGTCTCTTGTGTGCATGACAAGTTGTTTATGATGGCAAGTATATATTGAAAGGTGCTCAGAATTCATAAGGTTCCGATTTTTCATTATCTAATTTTCTCCGAGCGACATCCTCCATCTTCGTTTTGACACATTAGGCCCGGTGCTGCTGTAGAGCTTGGAGGGTAATAATTGAAGAGACTCTTCAGGAGGGAAGCACTGCTTAGGGAGTCAAATGCTGGGGCTGATGTGAATGAAACTCAAACATTAAGAGGCCCCCTGCTCGCTGTTTCCCATAACGCTTCTCATCCCTTCTTTAAATCATCTCCCAGAGTTCCTTTTGATACCCCGGCTGATACAGTCATCGCTGTATTGGCTGTGCAATAACATGTCAAGCACACTGCGGTTGCAAGTCTAAAATAACCAGAAATTGAAAGACAAGACATATCAGCATTTCCATTAGATCAGTTTCAAATGTTATAAGATGTAATAATCCTTGTAGTGATGTTAAACAGTGATGCTCGAAGTCTAAGGTTTTGAATTCAGTATTTATTGAAAGAAGTATCTTGTACTGGCTAAAGGAGCATTTGTTTGAAAATATACTGTAAAAGCTGTAATCTTTTTAAATATTACAGTTTAAAATGAACCTTTTTTATTATATAGTTGAAAATATAATTATTTCTATGATGACGGAGTAGAATATTGAGCCTTCAGTGTCTTCAGTGTCACATGATCCTTTAGAAATTATTCTAATATTTTGATCCGGTTCTATTATTATCTCAGCTGAAAATGGCTATGCTGCTGAATATTTTTGGAGAGATTTTTTAGGATTCTTTTATGAACAGCAGGTTCAAAAAAAGAGCATTTACATAAAATCTTTTGCAATGTTAAAATTGTCTTTACTGTCACTTTTAATAACTAATGCGTCCGTATTAATTTGAAAAACTTACTTTCTACACTTTAATAGACTTGGCACTGAATAACATGTATAAACTTTTTTTTTTGCATTCAGTAACAGAATATTGAGCCAAATGGTATTTTCAAAAAATCTTATTAGATAAAAAAATTATTAGATAGTTTTAGATGTAAATAACCTCTGTCCATTAAATCAAGGTCAGCGTGTGATGTTGCTGGTCTTAGAATTTCTGATTAGTCTAAATAGACTGTATAAAATTGATCCAATGTGTTCAGCTGAATTATTTTACACATATTTAGCTGATCTCAAAATACTTTTAAGAGTTTGCACTTAGATATTGTTTGATAATATTAGCAGGTTTGGCATTCTGTTCTGGGAGAGAAACTTAAGCTCAAAGATAACCAAGTAAGCCTAGTTAATGAGCAAGTAAGCTTCCCCTGGTAAAGGAGGAAAAGGAGGAGATGGGGTGGATGAGGGGATTATTCAAAAAAACTAAGTATACGATACTAGAGTTGAAGATATAGTGAATTTGGATTAATCCGACTGGCTTACTAATGATTCAGGATAGGAGACCAGCTGTGATCAATCATGTCACGTGCTCCTCTCGAAATTACTACACCTTAATGCTTGGCATTCTGACCATTAAATTTTGTTTACATAATGCTATCAGCATAGGATGTTTGTCTTACCAGGAGTCATTTAGTTTACAAATTGTACTGAATTGTGAAGAGTAAAGAGTAAAGAACTGTACTATCTGGTTTTTGCACAGGTGACTATTTTAAACACATTTTTAAATGTAAAGCAATATTACATAATTTAACTTGTATTGCATATTAGTCTCTAACAAGTTAGCCATTTTTGTGGGATACAGTTGCAAAACAAATTGCAATACCAGAAAAGTACACTAGTTCCTAGTGTATTGTATAATAAAAAAGTACTACTGAAATCTCACAGCTGCTGGTAGCCTATGTACAAACTGGGAAACGCATACATTCCTACATTTACAGTGAGGTAACGCACAGTTGACCATGAGGTACAACACCTGTGGTCAGAGCAAGGCTCTGTGCTTTAGCCAATATGTAAAAAATATTGTTCTTTTCATAGAGGTCGGGAATTGTCTCGTTGCTGAAAAAAGTGTGAGACGATAGTCTGTTACGCGGATCGAGTGCTTTTATAAGATGACAAAAGCCTGCATCTCCAATCACCGAAAGCGGCCGCAAATCTTTAGCAATGACACCCCCCCCCCCCCCCCCCCCGCCTTTATTCTTTTTATGTGTTTCTCGAAATCAGTTGTGTATGTATGCTGGAAGAATTCCACGAGGGATTGTTGTTTTTTTGGGGAACTTTATTACCTTCTCTGTTATCCTGCCTTCAGACAGTGATATAGCTGGGTGATGGCGTCACAGATGTGCAGTCATGTTGGAAGTGTTTCCATTTGAGTAGGCTTTACGTGTAAACAATGCTTGCACAGTAATTTATTTGTTAACTGTTTTTTCGTCTTCTGCATTATACTCAACGATAAAACCGAAATGTCCCCACATCGCGGATTTGAAAGATGCCAGCGCTTCCTGATACTTTTGTCTCACTTGCCGCCGCTCGCCATGTTAAAGTGTGGAATGATGGTTTAGCGCCCCCTAACTTTAGAGCATAGTGAGGGGAGGAGATTCCTCATCTCAATTCCGAAAATAATAAAACACACATAAATTATT